CCAACCAGTCAACATCTGGAATTTGTCTTATAAAAAGCTCTCCTCAACTCTGACTGGCGGAGTCGCACAGCCTCATAGGGCTCTGAGGTTCTCATCTTCAGGGTTGACCACTGGGCCTGCCGAGCGGCTGGCGGGGCTGAGCAGCGGATCGTTCCGTGAACAGCCAAGTGCTTAGCTCCTGAACCACCGGGGCTCCTCCCACAAACCCCTACATGTGGACAAATTCATCTGTGTACCTCTCTACTCTTGGAAAGCAACCTGGTGGGGTAGTGGGCTATGGACTGACATGCTAAACATAAGGTCAGTGGTTCAAACCCACTAGTTGCTCCACAGAAGACAGATGAGGCTGTTTGCCCCCATGAAGATTTAAAGTCTCAATGCTGCCTGTAGGGTTACTATGAGTCAGAATCAGCTTGATGAGAGTGAGGATTTGGGGGCGGGGGGAGGCTGTTTTAGTATGATACTCCTCATCCCAGTAAAGAAGCAGAAGCTACATACAGTCTATCTTAAGGGACTAAGTATATGATTCCACATCCACCCGTACAAGGAACGCCTGGCAATCATTTGTTTTCCAACAAGGTCAGCCTCTAGGTATTGCCCTGGGGAAACTTCTCGTTTGGAAAATAACACGTTGGGATATACTCAGTGTCCAGCTGTGATTTGAAAAAGGTAGTTTGCAGAGCAAACTTCAGACGGCCCTGAGAAAGGTTCGCTACAATTGTTGAATTTGTAAAAGCGAGGGTTGTCTCACTAACCCTTCATTTGGAGAGTCCCCCCACTTTCTGCCCAGCTTCAGAATGACCATAATCCACTTTTGTTTAAAACAAGGTTTCTCGCCTTGTGTGCTCCTGACATTCGGACCTCCCAGTCCTTATGTTATAGAGGGGTGCTGCTGTCTGATGTCCACCAGCATCCCCAGTCTAGAGCCACTAGATGTCAGCAATACATTCTCGCCCTCCCTGGTAAGGACAACCAACACAGTGTCCAGACACTGGCAAGGGTCCCCTCGAGTCAAAATCACCCCCATTGGAAACCACTGGTAGACAATAAGGGCCTACTTTATTATTGTATAGATAACTTCAAGTCTGTACGCTATAGAAAGAAGTTGAAGAGGATACACACCACGCTGTTAACAGCAGTTCCACTAGGAACCAGGATCAGGAAAATAAGGCCCTCTGATGGCATAGTGGCTGTGCATTGGGTTGCACACTGCAAGGTCAGCAGTTTGAAACCAGCAGCCGCTCCCTGGGAAAAAGACAAGGTTTCCTACTCCTGTAAAGAGTAACAGTCTTGATTACTCACCAGGACAGTACTACTCTGTCCTAAAAGGACATTATGAGTTGGAATTAACTCAATAGCAGTAAATTGGTTTGGTATTTTTGTTGCTGTACTCTTTTTTGGCTTATTTTTTACAAGTATAAGAGAGGACTCTGAAAAATTCATGGGAAAAATGGAATAAAAAGATCATGGAATTTCTCCATGAAACTTTTTGTAGCTCCCTTGTATATTTATTCTGTGATTAAGCAAAAAATCTATTTCTACTATATTCCCACTTATAGACACATAATACACATACACACACACAAACTACAAAGAATAGCTGATATCAAAAGACAGTCAGTCAGGACTCTCTTTGGGGAAGAGACAAACAGCTCTGACCTGGGATGGGATGAGTCACTCGTAAGATAAGAGACTGACAACTGTGTGTGGATCGGTTGCCTGGGGTTTTACCACATGGCAAGAACTGTGACTGAGCGATGGTGAAGTACGTACGTGGGGAATAAGAACTTCTGGCTTCTGCGTTCGAATTTACTGGGGACCAGTCTCTTGCAGCATTCAGCTGCAAACCCTGCATTGGCAAAAAGGAGCAATCTACCTTTTTTTCGGAGTCCCTGGGTAGGGAAACCGTTCAAGCACTCGGCTGCCAAATGGAAGGCTGGAGGTTCAAGCCCCGGAGGAGGCACCTCAGAAGAAAAGCCTGATGGTTTACTTCTGACAAATCAGGCAATGACAACTGAACGGAGCAGAGTGCAGCGGTGGCACAGCCGAGGCCGCCATGAGTCTGCGTGGACTTGTTACCTCCCACAGAGACTTAGGAGGGTAACCACCAAAGCATCTTGGACCAAGGACTTCCCCTCAGCATGTTTGGCATCATACAGATAAAAGATAAAGTTCTCATTCATAGTGGCTTTTATGTTCTTAAAGCTACTTTTTTTTTAAACCAGTGTCTTGTCCAATTTGGACATTTTAGCATTTGGGGAATCCCAGAATTCTTGAGTTTCTTTATAGTTCTGAAGAATTCCCTCCAAGGGAATTCTTTAGATATTTTTCCAGTTCACTCATTGATCTATTCTTATGAGAAAACAAGAAAGCAAATCTCTTTTCTTCCTTGTTTAGCATTTTGTTTTCCTAACCAAGTATTCTAGAAAAATTGTTACTGTTTGTTTAGAAATCAATAGGTACATTGCCACAGCCAATGTTTGCAATGCCTCCTACCGCTGAGTTATTTGGAGCTCATGCCAAACTTCCTGAGGGAAAAAACAAACCTGAATCATATAGCCAAACAATAACACATGTAACCCCCATATTTATGCCAACTAATGGCGTATCAGACACCCGTTGCCAATGTCCTCACCCAGCTCCTTCTCTATTGCACTAAAGAGAACTGTGCTTTGGGAAGATTTTGAAAATTGGCGAGGAAAGTCTTCTTGCCAGTGTTTTATGACAGTGTTTTAAAGAAATTTGAGACCATTTCTGAATTCAGTGATGAATCAGTTCACAACACATACCTTACATTCTCTATGTGCATGTGTGTATGTATATGTCTATAGATATATATTCTGGCTAGCATAACAATAAAGTAGCAATGCTTGGCTCACAAGCCACTCTCAAATACCCTCATCACCCGGGGCTTATTTCATCCTTCCTTTGTTTCTCTTCTTCCCCTGCTTTGACCCACTGCTGAAAGTCGTTTTGCTTATTTCATGTCATTTTCCTTCCCTGCAATTTTGCCTTTCAAGCTTGCTTGTTTGTTTCTTTTTTAATTAACCAAAGGTCTAATCAGAGAACTAAGCCATCTTTTTTGTCTTGTTTCTCTCTGAATCTGCAGGGATTTTCTCCAGATCTACCATTATGAAGACCCTAAAATCACACTATCTGCAAGTTCTTGAAACAAGAGAAGTGCATCATGTTCCTGTCCTGCCTCACGAATCCTATGGGAAACTTCCGCAAGACTGGAAGGATGAAGCAGACATTGTTTTCTTAAGTATAGTGATGGATTAAATAGTGTCTTCCCAAAATATGTGTAGAATACCTGGCCTTAAATGTGATTCTGTTTGGAAACAGGGATTTTCCTTGGTTACATTAGAAAGGTCAAACCAGTATGGGGTGGGCGCTAAATCTACTCACTTCTGAGTTATGGAAACACCAGAATAGATACAGAGAGGTATCCAGGTTAGGTGGATGAGACACCCTGTGAGGGGTGACTACACGCCAACCAACCTCAGAACACCTGGGGCTACAGACAAGGGGGGAATCCACACCGCCACAGACGTGGAGCCTCAGGATTGGCGAGAAAGAAATGCCGCCTTTTGAAAGCTACCCCCTCACTCTACAGTAGCGCTCAGAACAAGATGCTGCCAGCGGTGGTACGTCTTGCACAAGCAAAGAATAAACACGACAGCCCTGGTGGTGCTGTGAGCGAGGTGTTGGGCCGCTCACCCACCGGCTGCTCCTCCTGAGAAAGAGAAAGCTGCCCCCCAGTAAAGAGGCACAGTCCCAGAGAGCCCAGATAGGGTCGTGATGAGTCGGAAGCGGCAGTGGGAGGAGGATGGGGCCCATCGATCCAAGGCCCTTGCTTGCTACCACACACACTATCCACATACATAGACAGACTCTCTGAATGGGAACTCGAGACAGATCTTCACAGGGACCGACGCAGAACTAGAAGAGAGCGTCAGACAGTGTGTTTCCATTTTCGATCTTTTCCCAACGCCTCTGAGCTCTGAATGTGATCTGAGGCCATCGAAGTGTATCTTGTTGAGAGGTATGTGCATCTTAGGAGGGTTGGAAGGAGCAGTAGGTAAATCTCGATGGGTCCAGTCAACCTGACATAAAGGTTGCCCCACCTTCCTGAGAACCACTCGGTGGGAGAGTCCGTACTCTCCGCCATGTTGGACAGACAGGCCCTTCTTGATGTCCAGGCAACAAAAGCCCTTTCAAGTTCCCAAAGCCCTCTCTCTCCTTGCCAGGCTCGAGTGACATGTGAGCTTCACATCCCCTTGTAGATGTACTCACGGCTTTCACAGTACCGCCCCGTGTAGCCTGCCAGGCACGCACACTTGTAGGATCCGGCTTTGTCAAGGAGGCACGTGCCGTCGTGGAAACAAGGAGACGAAGAACAGGCTGTAAGAGGAAAAGGCACGGAGCAGTGTGAATTGATGTCTTTCCGCCTGGAGGCCTGGCAGGCATCTTTATGTGTCTATTACTGTCTTTTTGCATTTTTCACTCAACTTGGTGAACTCATGTTTTTAGGATTTGGAAATGTCTAAATCAGGGAACACTGGGGACTGATCCCGTGGCATCATTCCCACTTTGCATGTGGAGGGCTCAGTTCTATGGCTGGCCACGGCACAGCCACCACCTGCCAGGCAGTGGAGGCTCTGATGCTGCTCTGATGCTGAACACGTTTGCCAATGCCATTGCCCAGGGCTCGATCTGCTCCGGATCCGAAGTCAGTGCCCTTGACCGTGAGAGGTCCCATAGGGAGGACGCCAGAGTTAAACTGCTCATGTGCAAGGTATGGTTCCACCCCTCCAAGCTGGGTGATCCTGGGAAAAGTACCCAACCTTTCTGGGCTTCAGCGACCCCACCTGGGAAGAAATATGACTTCCTATTTCTGCTGCTGAGTGGACCTTTCTGGAACGCAGCCCGCCACTTTCCGTTTATTTTTTATATGTAGGTTACTTCTGAGAGCCCAGCATGCTAAGTGTTCATGAGCCTGAGAAGGAAGAGGAGTGATTTCTGCCTGGAACAGAATCAGAAAAGGTTAGACTTGTCTCCCCGGCTTTACCTGTGATCTGCTCAAAAATGGCGTGGAAGCCATCGAAGTTCTTCGAGCCATCGGAATGGAAGAGGACGTGGAGCGAGGAGCCCATGCTCTGAATGGGAGCTGGCCGTTCGTTGCCACAGAAACGCTTGATGATCTGACTGTCACTGTTGTCCCCGTCACGGACCTCAACGTAGTCATACTGACACATGTAGTCAAACTCCAGGCTCAACATGACAAACCTGCAGGAAGAGATGGGACAGAGGAAACAGGGCAGCCCCTGACACTCTTAGGCCTCATGGAAATTGTCAACGTCACAGGATGAGCAGCAGGTCTTGAGAAATGATGGAGTGGGCGGCCTGACAGGAAAACGGTCCTGGGGATTTAGGGTCAGATGAATTTCCTTTACTGTTGGGGTATACGTACAGGATACGCGTGCATGCACACACCATTCATTCCCAGATATAGATAGTATGCCACATGCTGATCAGAGACTCTTTGCCCATGCTGGCTCCTGAGATCACGTTGCTTCTCACCCTGTTCGGCTGGGCCCTCTCTATCCCTCAGATCTCAGCCTCAAACTGCTCCCTAAGCATTCTTTCTAGGAGGTACCCAACGCTCCTCTCAGGTTGACACAAAGTTCGCTTCTTGTCTTGATCTTGTTGTCTGTTTGGTGCCTGGCTCCTCCACTAAGCTCCCAAGTTCTAGGAGGGCCGGAACATTGATCTGACTTGTCTTACCATTGATCCCAAAGTGCCTAGCACAGAGCCTGGCATACAGTAAATACCGTTGAATAGCTCATTGAATGGATCCTACTTTATCATTTTCTTCTTAGAGGATGGAAAAGCATCTGTTGGTTTTGCAAGAGTGAGCAACAGGGGAGGAAACACTTTGTAATCATCTCAACTTGAAGGATCAGCCAGCAATTATCTTCTGAATAATAGCAATTACTACCCCTGAAGGGTTGACAAAGCAGCTCCCTATCAGAATCCCAGGGGTGTGAGAGAGCTGGTAAATTGGTGTATATTTAAAGGGGTCTTCAGTCTCAAGACACTGGGACACATCAGAGAAACAGGCGATGGCATGTTTGGGCAGGGATTTAAATGAAGAAAGGGAGTCACTCATGTGAAGGACCCAGAGGAGAGTGGTCCAAGCAGGGGGCTCTGTAAGGACGAAGGCCCCTAGGCAGCAATGAGCTTGGCATGTTTGGGGAACGAAGCCAATCCAGGGATCTGCAAGGTGGTGCGTGAGGGCAGGAGTGGTAAGAATGAGGTCAACAAGGAGAGCGGGAGCCCCATTCTCTGTGGTTAGGAGTTCGGCTCTGATTCCAAGTCCCAGAGGACTCCACTAGAAGGGTTCAACACAGAAATAATCACTTAGGATTTTAAAGAATCACTCTAGCTCAGCGGTTCTCAACCTGCGGGTTGTGACCCCTTTGGGGGTCAAACAACCCTTTCACAGAGGTCGCCTAGGATCATCAGAAAACACATATTTCCGATGGTCTTAGGAACGATATACCGCTCCTCTCTCTGTCTCCAGGTGGGTGCACCACATGCAGATATGCCCACATATGGGGTCACCACAACATGAGGAACTGTATCAAAGGGCCGAGGCATTAGGAAGGTTGAGAACCACTGCTCTAGCTAGTCTTAGAGTATGATAGAGCTGGCAAGAGTAGAGACAGGGAAGCAGGCCATGCAGAACAGAAGTCAGAGTTGGGGTGGTTTGAGATGGAACAATGGCAGTGGAGATGGAAAGGCGTGGACACACGAAGGATTATGTTAAGTGTGAGAACACTGATGCGATTGCCTGGCTGTGGTAGGAGGTGGGCAGAGGTGCATGCAGGACGACCACTCAGCTTTGGCTCAGCATTGTGCAAATGCTTCTGAGTACAGCCATTATTAGGATCCTCCCTGGCCAGGAGGCCCTGGTTGCACGAGCTGGAGAGAAATCTACATATTTCTAGGCTTCCCTAGGACACTTTCCTTGGCAGGTGATATACTTCTCAAATCATTTACCATTTTGTTTTGGTTTTTTGCACCCTGTATCTTAGAAGAGTTCTGAGGGGACCACTTGGCCTGGTTTCTGAGCAGCTGAAATATTAACATGCAGCATTAATACCTGAGCTGACCATCGCTGGGAGACAAAGACTTGAGCCCAGTAAACAGAGCAATGTGGCCTCTTCACTGCCTACTTAATCTAGGCTTCTTCTAGGGAAGTCCAGCTGATAAACCTTATTCAGAACCCCAGTTCCCAGGGAACGAGGAGACCAGCTGCCAAGGGCTGCTCAGGAGGACTTGTTTTACAATGGATATCTCCAGGGTGGGTTACCTTCCTGAGAGGATAGCATGCCCTTTGAGAAGCCATCTAGCATGTGACAACCCCTGGGTCCATGGATCCATCCAGAAGAATCCATACTTATTGAAAACTTGCTTATATGAGGGGGTACCCCACAAAAAAACAGAATTTCTCTGGGTGGAGTGGAGCTTTCGTATATACATTATCCCGATAGGGGAGCATCCAGCAACTCACTCCAGTTAGTGTACCCAGTGGCATTGCCTGGCAAGGTTCTCTCTGGTCACAGTGAATTTTTTCGTAAAAGCAGTTTCGCTGGACCCTTTTTGGGTGGGGTGGCTGATTTAAGAGAACAGCATGCAGCTGTGACATTTGGCTTCCTGCTCGGGAAAATGCTGCCGAAACTGTTGAACACAGTTTACAAGGACAACGTTATGGGAAAATCTCATGTGTACAAGTGGTTTTCTCATTTCAAAAATGGCAAAATATTGATTGATGACAAACCTCGCTCTGGATGGCCATCAACTTCCCAAATGGATGAAAATGTCGACTCACTCTGCATTTAGAATTCGTTCCACCAGGTCAGACTGTTAATCAAGCTTTCTATTTAGAGGTTCGGAAAAGATTGCATAACTGTGTATGATATAAAAGGCCTGATTGGTGGCAGACAGACGACTGGTTTTGCCACCATGACAACGTACCTGCTCACACAGCCATCTCAGTGTGCCGTTGTTGGCAAAAAACAGTATGTCTCTCTTACCCCACACACCTTATTCACCTGACCTGGCTCTGTGTGACTTCTTTTTATTTCCGCAATTGAAGAGGGACGTGAAAGGACAGTGATTTGAGGAGGTAGAAGCAGTGAAGAAATATACAAGGGAGGTAGGTGCTGTCAGTCATCCAGACAGATGAGTTTGACCTTATGACCCCTACTCCATTATTCTGACCCCAGCGCCTTACCTTAGTTGGATGTTAAACCCAGGCTTGGCATGAATGGTCCACTCACAGTGAGCATTAAGAGGGTAGCTCTCCAACAAAATCTGACCCCGGGGGACATGAAGAACCTGGCCACACCCTGAAAAGACAAGATTGGAGCATGGAGGTTGGAATCCACCGGAAAGAAGGTCGTAGACAGCCTTTGGCTCATCCCACATCCCCGAGAACAGGAAGGAAAAGGAAAAGAGAGGTGGCCGTTGACATCATTTCTTAAGCAACTGGCATTGTGTTAGGCCATTTTCATAGGTTAATATTTTTAATCCACCCCTCAAATTGGGAGGGGAGGTAGTATTCTAGAAGTTTTCCAGCAGGGAAAATAGATCATCCAAGGGTCGAATAAGTAACTTGTCCAGCTACCAAGTGACAAAGCAACGATTCCGAGTGTCAGCAAGTCCAGGTCACTCCCTTGTCTTGTATCTCCAAGACTTCCCAAGGCCAGCCTACTCCCCCACCTTACAGGACTCCCCATAGCCGTACATGCAGGGACATTGTATTTTCTGTTGGGAGTCTATATTTTCATGAGCCCCTTTTGGTCAGTGTTCTGTGCCCACCTTCCACTGCGCAAGTACACGTTCAAAGCAACTCTTAGTGGTGACTCCAAGTATCCATTAATATGTGTGTGTTTTTGTCATTTATGAGTTTTATATGTTAATTTGTTCTATGAATAATTATATAAAGAGTAGTTCTTTTTTATCATTTTATTAGGGGCTCATACACTCTTATCACAATCCATACATACATCAATTGTGTAAAGCACATTTGTACATTCATTACCCTCATCATTCTCAA